CCCTAACTGACTTAAATTGTATCTTACTTTATATAACATAATTTAAAACACAGAAATATCCATCGAAGTTTACACAGTTGCCAGACATGTGGAGTCGTGTTTATGAGGGTACGGCGGATATCAATTACCCCGTGGTGTTCTATACGTCATGTTGGAAGTTGTTTCCGGATTTCTTTGACCAGATCCAGAAGCACTTTGGACTAAACGACGTCGACGCTTTTGCCTCGAGTCATAACGCTCAGCTTCGCCAATACTGGTCGTACGGCAAGGATGGCGGGGCGTTTAAGTTTGACTGGAGTAAATACAACGCATGGATGAGCCCACCTTGGCGTCATATACGTAAGGTGTTGCGTAATGTGTTGAAGGACAAGGCGTCGGCAACAATATGTTTACCGTTGAACACACGTGCGCCATGGTTCCCTTTACTTCTATCGATGATGCAAGCAGACCCGCTACTTATCCCACGTACGGCTCACGCATTCTTGAATCACGGCTCACAAGCTTGTGGTAAATACCCGTGGGAGCATACCATCGTGGTACGTATTGGCCCTCCATCTGGGTACAAAGTCAATCCATCATTTTGGTGTGACGTAGGCTTGGAGGTACCTGTATGTGAAGACGCTGGTACACGTTATCAGGAAGATTGGGCACAACCGGTTATGACGTAACGAACGCGACAGACCGCTGTACAAATTCCTGAGATATGTGCGGGTGCTACAGTGATGAATCATCCAGGGCACGAGGAAGCGAACCGTCGTGTACAGTTGACATGTCAATTTCACGAACAAGGACATCCGGCTCCAGCAGTGACAGTACAACAGATGCGCGACGATGGACATAGCTGGGACCAGATGCTTCCATTCACAGAAGAAGTCCGCAAGTTATGTCGCACATGCTTGGGCAACGATACAATGAAGAAAGGTTTTCATCCTTTAATGAATATTACCGCTTGATATCCCTGGGATCACATACAAATGGATCTCATTTCTATGGTGGTCACATCCACTAAAGGAACCAAATTTATTTTACATGTGCTTGATGTGGCGTCGGGCTACTCTATTCTACGGGCGATACCTGCGAAGGATGCAAAGACAGGTGGTGGCAGAGTTTGTGTCAGTGTTTGGTGAGCATAGAATTCCTCGTAAGATTCAGAGTGACGAGGGCACCAAATTTGTAAACAATATTGTCAAATCCATCACACGAGCGTTGGGCATTATGCACAAGACATCCCAACCATACCACCCGCAGACGTTGGGCGCGGCGGAGCGCCGACATAAGGAAATCCACAAATGCGTGCGCGCATTGTGTGTTGGTTGTCCGGAGTTGTGGGATGAACGTCCGCCGTTTACTATGTTATACCAGAACCTTCGGATATCACGACGTCACAAGTCAGCACCATTCAGCGTTTATTTTGGTCGGCGACATGTCCCGTTTGCAATCATGACTGATGACTTACCTGGTCATATTCCTACCACGAATGATGCATGGTTAAAGAGGCTGGATGATTTGGAGAAGACTATCCTACCAAAACTTCATCAGAAACCGATTAAGTATACTGATGCCATGGCAGAGGCTTCGGATCAAATGCGTAAATTTGATTTGATCGAATTTAAGACGGGGGACGTCGTCATGATACTCGCTCAGGGAGCAACGACCAAAGCCATGAAACCACTGCTTGGTCCGTACGTGATTCATAGTCGGGAAAATTAGAGTTACCATCTACGAGCAAAGGATGGCAGCAAGCCGCCTGAGCTCAGAGACCGACCCGAGAATGTGGAGATTATTCGGCTTGTACATCTGGTTACGGAACCACCACTTGATGAATCTCTATGGAGAGAGGGCGGGTCGACATTTCGACATATCATATCGCACCGTCATAATGAGGCGACTCAACAGTCGGAATATTTGGTACGTTGGTTGGAAGGATCTCCTACATGGGTGACAGCCGATGCCTTTGACGACCACAACGTCGTGCCCGCATATCGCAAACGGATTCAAACACGTGAGAGTCGACGACAACGACGCTTTCTTACTAAGTGTGACAAGTGTGAGAAGACCAATGGCTATCACGCCAAGTCTTGCGACAATAAGCCCGACATTAAGTTAGAGTGAAAGTACTACCAGGTACAATCGTTACAAAGAAAATACAGCGACTCCTTAGATGAGCGTGTAAAAATCCCTATATATTGCAACGGAAATAAAGCACTTGCATTGATTGATCCTGGTTCAGAAATTTCATGTATATCCGACCGCTTTGCATTAATGATAGACATTGAAAGGCGAACTCAAACCCCTCACCTAATTTTAGCAGTTGACAAAACTTCTAAGTGTGATACCATGGCCACAGATGTTAATATCTCCCTGGCCGATGATAGAAATATCACGACTCAAGCTGGGATCGTTAAGATGTCACAGAAGTACGACATTATAGTCGGAATGAGCGATTTGCTCACGTGAGGGATAACCGTAACAGGCTTACCCAACAACATAGATCCATTAAAGGATCAGTCAGACGATAATTGTCTAAAACCATATACACCACCATCGGACATAGTCGAGGAATTAATTCCTGGCTTTGCCGATAAGATAATGGATCGTATATTAGTAAATAAGAAGATAAAAATAACCGACTGGGCGATATTCTGCTTCAACGACGGACACGTCAGCCTTGACTTAACCAAGGTAGACTTTACTAAGCTCAAATGTCCTTCAAGAAACTATGTTTCTTGGAGACACAAAGCTGTAGTTAAAGAACAAGTCGATAAATGGATATCCGATAGGGTAATCGAAATCAATTACCAACAGCCCTCAGTTACCTTAGCATTATTGGCAGTTGATCAACACAACTCTGACGGAACATTTAAGAAAGTCAGAGTATGTCAGTATATGAATCCAATAAATAAGTTATTGCCGACTCATAGTTTCCATCTCCCTCGTATAAACGAGTTACTGAGACGAATGGAAGGTGCTACGGTGTTTACATTCATAGACCTAACAAAGGGGTATCATCAAATGCAAATTTACGAACCCCAGTGTAAGTACTTTGGTTTTACCTGGAAAGGTAAACAATACAGGTTTAGAGGTGCACCTTTCGGGTTGCACTCCTTACCAGCATTCTTCCAACAAGTAATGGAGGAAATGTTTGCTGACATGCCGAACGTGCAAGTCTATATAGATGACATAGTCATCTTTTCTAAAACTAAGGGCGAACATACCGCATTAGTCAGGCGAGTCCTTCAGAGACTCAACGAACAAAACTTCAAGATGAACGAGAAGAAATGTCACTTCGCCATGAGCGAAATACAGCTCTTAGGCTATCGTATATCTGGGGAAAGTAATAAAATCGACCCCGGTAAGCTGGAACACCTGAACCTTTGGACACTTAATATGTCATAAAGACAAACTAGGAGACTTGTGGATTAAAGAGTGTGATGACGCATTTAAAGCGCTCAAACACCCAGTCCAACAAGCCCCAGTTGTACAAGGACCAGTCGATGGCGTGTCGTTTGAAATAGCAACGGACGCCTCCGACTTAGCCTTAGGAGGAGTATTATATCAGGTTATAGATAATAAACCTAGGTATATATAATTCTTTAGCCGAGCAATGAATGCATCACAATTGAATTATCCAACTGTGAAGCAAGAGCTACTAGTCATAGTAGCAGCTTTAACACACTTCCGCGATTACCTATATGGAACAGCTTTTACGCTGATGTGTGATCAGAAGTCCCTTCAATATATGAAAGAGATGAAGCCAGACTCTCAATTACTGAGCCAATGGTATGATACGATATTAAAGTTTCATTTCGATATCAAACATCTACCAGGGATACATAACCATTTACCGAATATGTTATCACGCTTCGTACCAAACCCTTAGTCATACCAATAATTAAATCGTATTTCTGATACATGTCAGAAACGATTAGGTGAGTCTTTACTTCTCTTCTATCTGACAACATTATGTGTGCATAGTCAATGGCTTCTTCGCAAGTGGTAACTTTGCCATTTCCCAAGATTAAATTAATTGTTTCGTTATGGATAGCCATATCTGTAGCGTAAACTACTCGGCGTGAGATATCAGAGACTTCAGCCCCTGGGTCAATAGGTGCTATAACTTTTTATCCATTTACATAAACGATTTGAAATATACGTTCATCTCCTTTGGTATAGATTTTATTAAACTTTTTCTCATAATCTTGCTCTAGTGCACACATATGGAACTGATAGTGCTTAAACTTGAACGTCCGGTATGTCCTTGCAATCATCTTTGTGCCAACCGTTAGTACGTTTGCAAGTAGTACACTCTTTCATATAGTGTCCAAAGTTTGGCTTGCCTGGTGCACACTTAACAGAGTCGTGCTTACCATTCCACTTGTCATCAAGTTTAGTGAGGTTGTAACCACACTTCTTGCAAGGTAATCTCTCCTTCCTTTCACCCTTTGGTTCAGTAGAAGTAGAGCCTTTACCACCTCCGGCAGTAGTGCAAGGTTTTTTAGTATTACGCGCAGTGTTATTCTCTATCGCGGTACGCTTAGCGGGCTGGGTAAAGCTCGCGGTACTAAGTACTCTAGTAGATGGATTGGTATGCTTTTGAACTATCTTTTCAAAGACAGACCAAGGCATATATCGCAAATCACCATAGGCGATGATATCATCATTGACCTTTTTAAAAAAGTTAGCCCCCAGAGTCTCCATCATCTGACAAATTAATAAATATTCGCCAGTATAGGTACAACCTCCCATCCGAGTGTTCATATGTGTCATATGAGCTAGAGCACCTCGAATAGTAGTATCGGTCGCAACGGACTTGCGAGACTCTAGAAGGTCACGGTCACGTGCATTTTCAAAGAAGGCGTTAAGTATATTCTCACGCAACTGGCGCCAAGGTAGGGCTTTCCAGTTGGGCTCGTGGGCCTTCAAGATAGTTTTCCATTCTTCTGACTCACAGAAATGAATAAAGGCATTCATCATCTGCTTATCCTTAAGGCTGGCAGACTCCTTAAGTTGGTCAAAAGCCTTCAGTGTCTCCACTGTACTCTAATTAGTAGAGAAATCGACCTCAGCCTTCGCGTTACCTAGCTGCTTTATAAGCTTGGTTTGAAGCGTTCACGAGGCTCACGTTCAGTGCTACGGGCAGCTAGTGCCAAGATGGAGTCTATCTCCTTTTTCTTGTTATCGATTAGATAGCGAATGTTATCCGCTTCCTTATCGTCAAGGTCAGAGTCATTCAATAGACAATCCTCAAGGACTTGCATACCAGAACGTAATAGCCTGAGACGATGGTGTCTGGTTCTCACTTCCTCGTCTTCAGAGCTAGAGTGGGTACTCTCTAGTGCGGTACTGGTATAACGATTACCAAAGTCGTGATTACCAGGGTTAGATGGTAAATGAAGATCGATGTTATGAGGGTG